ATTATATTATAATTACGACATGATTTACTTCTTTCTTTGTGGGAGGGGGAGAGGAGCAAAAAATAAAATACAAATTACTACAGGTATCAACTACTGTTTCTATAATACAACTGTCATAGTAATACTAGATAAAAAATTATGTTTAGTTTCGTTTGTATGCAACTGCTACATTTCGTTTTATTCTCCAGTTTCTCCAGTTTCCTGCCTGCTGTGTTCTTATTTTCCTGGAATAAATAGGTGAATCAGTGAAAGTAAGAGATTCACTTTATCAACTATCTTATAAAATATATATATACTACAGGAATTGTAGCCCTGAGCCATCATATACAAAGTATTTACTTGCTGGTAGAAACGAAAAGATTTCGTTGGTAAACAAGTAAGAGAAAAGCGTGACGAGCTGTTCAATATTGTTCTCTTATCGTTTTCATTCAACCAGGCCAAATATTTTCGCGGGTTTCCGGCCTTTGCCGCCCAATGTGTTCATCGTGGTAAAGTATTTTCTGACTTAGTATCCTTTACTGAGTGTTCGATTACACAGAACCGTGTTATTAAACGAGATCATTTCGACCAGCTAGTCTTCACTAGAGAAGTAATAACTGACCTAGAGAATTATCAAAGCGTTAGACAGAGTACTGGAGCCTCTCGATCCCTTTAGACGCCCTAGCACTAACCGGCTGCCTGGTGTGATATCTCATGAAGAACACTGGTTCTGTAAAAGATTAAACAGGAAATGAATTGTGCCGCTTATTAAAGAGTGTATAGTGATTCCTATTCGCGCCATTTTCCACTCTTGTTTACAGTTGCGGCACAATGATTTTTTTTATATAGTTCGAGCCACGTCGAGTAGCAGCGCGTTTCCCTAGAAACAGCACGACTTGGCTGCCTCTACAGCTTCGCGTTTTAAAGGGGTTTCTTGTGTTTATAGGAGTAATATACTAATATCAGCGACGGAAAACATCATCTTTGGCAAAACACCGACTTTTCAAAGAACCCTGTTAGTTTATGATTGTGTTATATGACTTTGGAGAACCTTGGTAAAACCCTCCCTTGGTTATTATCCTCTCTACCGGAAGAGTTGTTAAAATGAGAATTAATAATAAAACAGTCTTAATTAGAAGTAACATAATTATTCTGGTTGATCTCCTAATCAGAGAGTAGTTAAAATACATTTGTATGTTTTAGAACAAAGCCGCATTGGGTTACCTGCTGTGTCTACCGGGGAATCGAACCTCGGATTTTAGCATTGTAAGTCCATAGACTTACCGTTATCCAACTGGGGGTACTAAAATTGGCTAGTAATTAAAGTATGAATTACCGAGTCTTTAAGCAGAGCATAGCCTAGTAGTTAGAATACCTGGACCTTGAGTCTGAGGGGTCTATGTTTCTCCTCCTGTTATCACAAAGTCGCTCCCAGCACTACAAGAAGGACGATCAAAACCCGTTATTCGATCACACAAGATTAACCCAAGAGTTGGCGGTGGGTTGTTGACTAATTCCTTTCCCTCCAGTCTATCACTTCAAAGTTAAGAAAGGATAGGTGCAAATAGCCCTCATGCAGTTTGGTGTGAAAATTCAAGTTCTAATAAAATAAATATTCGCTCAGTTTACAAACATTTCAATAGAAATCATGACGTTGTTTTATGTCTTAGTTAAATAAATATTCACTCAGTTTCAGTAAGAATCATGACGTTGTTTTAAGTCTTAGTTAAATAAATATTCACTCAGTTTCAGTAGGAATCATGACGTTGTTTTAAGTCTTCAGTTAAATAAATATTCACTCAGTTTCAGTAGGAATCATGACGTTGTTTTAAGTCTTGGTTAAATAAATATTCACTCAGTTTCGGTAGGAATCATGACGTTGTTTTAAGTCTTAGTTAAATAAATATTCACTCAGTTTCAGTAAGAATCATGACGTTGTTTTAAGTCTTAGTTAAATAAATATTCACTCAGTTTCAGTAAGAATCATGACGTTGTTT